TCACCATTAATGGCGCCACGATCATGCCACTACGTTGCCACCGCCCGCACGTGGGTGTGCCCCCTCTCTTGGCTGTGCTAGCCCACAATGATTGCTCGGGTGCGGTCGTCATGTCCTGCTAAGGCTCGGGCCAGCAGCCGGCCCCATTTCTTCCTTTTCCCCTCCCTCCTCTGCTGCCGGTCTGGCCAGGCCGCGCCTTCAATCCGGCATGGTGAGGTCATGTCCTTTCAATTCAATGTGCATCTGGCTCGTCTTCTAGCCAGCTAGCCAACCGGCCCCGCACCGTGCCGCATCGTACCTTGGCAAGCTCCAATTTGGAGACGGCACCCGCTGTCGCACCATTAAAGACGTAGACGCCGTTGCCGTGGGCATTACCCGCCTGGTTCTTTCGAGTCCAATTGGTTGTGCCCCCAGCCTCACCTCGCAATCCTCCACCCCATGCGCACCCCTAGTTGCACTGCTACTACCTGCCAGCGCCGCTGACGCGGTCACGCCACCGCGGCCATCGCCGTGTTTGCCATGCGCGCGTGGCTGGACTCACTCGGCCCGTCCCCGGTCAAGCCATCATGTCTGTTAGATTCTGGGTGAGTTGCTGATGCCCATCCTCAAGTCCTTTAGTCTCGATTGTGCCTGAGCTCACGAGAACATGGTCGCCGCCGCTGCAGGAGGCCCGCCGCCATGGAGGGAGCTCGGGACTGCGTCTCTGTTCACCGCTTCACCGCCCATTGCCTCGCGTTCGCATCAAGGTGAGCATTGGCTCGCTATCGGGGGTCGGGAGAGGCTAGGCTGGCCAGTGTGACCGCCCTGTGCCAGCGCCGCCGCGCCGGTGCACGCGCGGGTGCCCGAGGGCCCGGTCGTGGTAAAGACAGTTTGTTCCGAGGGCTTATCTGCAAAATATCTGATTGTACGAATAGTGTTGTGGGTCTCAGGGTGATTCACCGGTAGGTCAAGGACGTTTTCGCAAAATAGCCATAGCGCGCGGGCCTTCCCGTCGCTGGCCGCTGTCGCTCGGATGGGCCACCCCCGCGTGGGCCGTGCTGGTGGGTCACGTGCAATCATGCGATGACCGGGAGTGGGCCGCGCGGTGGATTTTAGTTTTCCTTTTTCCAGTAAATGAGCAAAGGTTTATTCAATTTAGTTTTGAACCGATCTTTGTAAAATTATAGTAAATTTTGTAGGTGTCCAAAAATAGTGAAACAAAATTTGTTAGGTTCACAAAAATGCTATCTATCTGTTGGTATAGTTAGTTTACAATTATCTATGAAAATGATAGATTTATTAATTCATTTAGAAAAGCTTAGTATTATTTAGCTTAATGTTTGTAGGAATTTTTATGGCAAATTTGTGATAGCTTTAGCCATGAAATTTTTACAGTAGGTTCATTAGATTATTATGTGCTCACTGTAATTTTTGTAGCCCTAGAGTAGGTTGATAAATAGAGTAGCTAGTACTCCTTGTTTTATCATATATAGAGTAAATCGATATTAAGAATAGGGATTCCTTTAGTTGCTAAGTTAATACATGAAATGTTCATACCTATTTACTGCGAATGATAGGTAACGTAGCGTCTTAGTCGGTAGAGCTAGTTTAGTAGCTTGACAGATGTATTTTATTTTAAGAGTTGTTGTTGTCGTATTATTAAGTGTTGCATCATCATTTCATATATGTAGATAACGAGTTGGTAGAGTTCATGCCTACGGACGAATAGGACTACGAGGAGATCATTGAGGAGTACGAGGAGGAGATTCTCATACAGGAGGGAGCCCCGGAGCCATCAGTTGCTGACTTTGTTGACACCCCGCCTGCCCAAGGCAAGCCCCGGTGCATAACCCATATTTTTAAATGATCATGGAATCTATATATGTGATATGCATTTACGTTATATGAATTTTATGGAAACTACATGCATAGATATACTTACCTATGAGTTCTACTAGTATAGGTCGAATAGCTGCTATGCTCAGGTTTTCGGTAGTGTGGGTAACCTGTCGTTACTCACAATAGATGATTATTAGGATCACTGATGATAAAATGGTGGAAAGGAAACAAAATGGAGATCGGGCAGGGATATGGTATGGGTATTGGTGTGTGTAAGAGGCTATGTCATGCGGCCAATAGGGCATAGCTTGGTTACACTTTTTCCCTGTCTGTGTCGGTTAAGGACCGATCGTTGCATTGGGTTCTAGGCAAGTCACAGACTTATTATCCCGAGCACATATTTGGGCATGGGCGCAAGGAAGGCTTGTTGCTCTCTTGTCGTGGGTTCCGGCTCTTTCTGGATCGACTGATTGGAGGCGGGGATGGTGGAGGTCTAAGCACCGCACTGAGTCCGGGATTCAGAAGCGGGGGCTTGGAGTCCAAGTTTGGACGGGGACCTGAACCCCGTGACAGGAGAGTGATGGGTTGGTCCTGCTTGTGCTTGGGGTACAAGTGGGGCATATGTTTCGGGGTACCCAGTTGGGCACATTAATTCGTGAATCGCTGGCGTTCCAGTACGACTTGTCTGCAGTCTAGCACCGTAGTAAGAACTGAAAGATGAAAGATAATGAAATGGAACTGTTGGCTCAACTCTTGCTTGAAAGTAGAACAGGTGCTTACATAGAATGGCTAGATAATGAATTAATCATGACTGCTAATAATAACATAAATAAGGATTCACTATTAACATTGCTTTCTGTAAAAAGGAATCCAGCAAACCATAAAGCTTATCATATTCCTTGTAGTCTAGAAATTATTTCCACTAGTCGGATAAGTCTTGCGAGTACATTGTGTGCTTTGGATTTATTTACCCCTATTGCAGGTACTGCTTGAGGAGTAGCCGTTGTCTGAAGGATTCTTCTGGTGGGCTCAGACGAATCCTTATATATTATCGATAGCTGTTTCATTTCATTCCGCTGTTAAATTTTCGCACTCTAAATTTGGTACTGTAATAATAATTTTCTAAGAACTCTGGATGTATGAAATGGACTAAGTATTGTAACTCGTTCTCATTATTGGATCCTTGGGGAAAAATGTGGATCATTCGAGCTCTCCCTTGGGGTGTGCTCGACGGAACCCGCCCGATGTTGCTTGCTTTCGGAGTGCTTAGTGCCTAGTGGAAAACAAGAGTCTCCGTAAATGCGTTATTTCGGATGATTCTGCCACAACCATTATACTAAATTATACCCGCAAATTAAAAGGATACATATGGAAACTTGTAAGAGTAATTACATCCTCTGCTAGAAAGTGCTATCAGAGACTGCTAGAAAGTACTATGAGTTGCATGTGTTCTGGTTAACCGTCTTAGAAAATACTCCTTACCTCCTAAAATAAAACAACTTCTAAAGTTCTTATAAATCAAACTATTTTAAATTTAACCAACTTTATATAGAAAAGTACCAACACTTATGACATCAAATAAGTACACTATAAAGATAGATTTCCTAATATATCTAATAACACTATTTTAGTCTCTTAAATATTGGTGCTCTTTTCTATCAATCTGTTAAAACTTAAACTAGTTTGAATTTGGATAACTCTAGAAGTCAGACTTATTTTGAGTCTGAGTAACTAATAAGTATTTGTTTCATAAATAACTAATAAGTATCAAAGTTCAAGCACGAAAATAAGCTATCCCTAAGCATCCAGTTTAGCTTTACGCTGAGTACTCACAATTTTTGCCAAAGCATATATATAGTCTAAATCCAAAAAAAAATGAATCTCATAATGACCAGATCAAATGCATAATTCGTTGAGTTTTTCATTCAGTGAACATATTCACATAGTCAACTGAGCTATTTGAGAATCTCTAAGTAACATCCTTTTTCACGGATGATCTCTATTCTTCTCTAAGAAACATTTGTACAAACTCGAAAACAAAATCAAATAAACAATGGCAAAAGCACAAGTGCAAAACTACTACAACCACATCATCCAACTTTCCAAAGACCTATTCCAAGCACCCGGCATGATGAGAAAATTCCACATATATGTAACCTGATCTAAATTAAATGAAATACTCCGTATTACATACAAACCCCAAAAAGTTGACGGTGTCAATGGCGCTCTATGTTTTCTCCCTGTACATGCAGGCCGGCCTCACCCGCAGAAAGTCGTCGCCACACCGCATGCGAATGCATAGTGCCTACCAGTCGGTGGTCCATTGCATCATGTCAGCAATCCTTACCTGCTAATCCAGATCAAAGTAATAAATGATGATCTGTCATATGACGGGCACGGAGCAGTGGAGCACCCCGTTCTGGTGCTACTCTTTCTTTTTCTTGCAGCTGCGTCCTATTATCCTACGGAAGACCGGTAGTTGGACTAGGACTTCGGAAATGAAGTTTGAATGCACCACACCATGTAAAATAGCCTGTCAGTGACTAGGTCACAGTACCGTCTCTTGCCTTTATTTTTTCCACATCATGTGAATGAACAAGAGGCTAATTCTCAATTGATTTGATGATGGTAAGTGCCCCTATTGAAATAGTTTCAAGTCAAGGATCCCAAAGAAGTTGAATTAGTCGAGATCAAACTTAAAACAAACCGAAAAACAACGTTAGAGCATTCACCGGACGATAAGATTGATCCTGACAGATCGTCCTACGGTGTTGCTTCTCGGGCAGAAGTGACTTCCAGTGACCATGTGAACGCCATATGATCAATTGGGGACTTACATGGCACGCTGAGGAATCGCTACCGGACAGCGCACGTCGCTGACTAGTTTGCCTGGAATTGGAATGGAAGTGCAAAACACTAATGTCGCGTCACTTAGAGTTCCCTAGTCATCCATACACACCTTTCCGACGAGAATTGCCCCGGCGTCGTGTTGAAACCCGCGCCACACACGTACTATCTGCACTGACGCGTATCCTCGACGACGGCGAGCAATTAATCGTGATATTCGTCCACACTCCACGCGTAGTGGCCAAGTCTCTCGAGAGCTTGTAGAGGGCCAGACATAACAGCCACACCATCACTTGTTCGATCAGGCGCCGCCCGGCAGGCACCAAGCTGCGATCATGGCGGTGGCGGCGCTCTGCTTTGTTTCCCTCACCCGCGTTAACGTTCGCCCCTTTGCTGCTCTGCTACTGCTGATGCTACTGCAACAAGCTCGTTTCCTGGCGTTGGCCGTGGCACGGACCACCAACCTGACAGCGGGGGCCACCTTGACGCCGCCCGACTACCTCACCAGCCCCTCCGGCACCTTCAGCTTCGGCTTCCTCGCCCTCGACTCCGACGATCCGACCAAGTTCCTCGTCGCCACGTGGTTTCGCTTCGCTGCTGACGGCAACGCCTCCACCCAGTCGCAGCCGCAGCCGCAGTCCGTGGTGTGGTTCGCGAAACAGTCGCCGTCCGGGACCACGCCCAACGCCACCGCGCAGTCCGCCCTGAGCATCACGGCCGATGGGCAGCTCATGCTCACCGACGGCAACAAGGTGCTGTGGACGCCGCCTACCACAGATCGTGGATCCGTGCTCGCGCTCCGCGACTCCGGTAACCTCCAGTTCCTGAGCGACACCGGCAACCAGGTGTTGTGGGAGAGCTTCTCGTACCCGACGGACACGCTCCTGCCGGGCCAGTCCCTGGCCTACGAGTCAACCGGGTCCCAAGGGAAGCTCTTCGCCAAGCGCGCGGACGCGGAGTTCACCACCGGCCGGTTCAGCATGGGCATCCAGAGCGACGGCAACGTCGTCCTCTACGTCGATCTCCTCGAGGGCAACAACCACGAGAACGCCTACTGGCAGGAGCACACCAACAGCCCCGACGGCAACACGACGGTCACCTTCGACGACCAGGGCCGCCTTAACTACACCCTCCACAACGGCACGGTCCACAGTTTGGTTAAACCGGTGGCGAGCTTCACCGCCGGCGAGTACTTCAAGTTCGCCCGCATGGACCCCGACGGCATCGTCCGTACCTACATCCGTCCCAAGAACGGCGGCGGCGGCAACGACACGTCTTGGACTGTGTCCGGTGCGTACCCCGACGATGACGGCTGCAACAAGAGGACGTCTGGGTTGCAGGGCATGTGCGGGCCGGGGTCCTACTGTGTGTCTGCGCCCACGCCGAGCTCAAGGGACAGGCTCAACTGCGTGTGCCCGAGTGGGTACAATTACACCGACGAGCAGCACAGGGACAGCGGCTGCACGCCGGGGTTCGAGCCACAGAGCTGCGACGGCGAGAACAGCTCCGACGAGTTCACCCTTGTGGAGCTGCTCAACACCACCTGGGAGACCTCGATATACTACAAGAAGTTCTCATCAGTCACGGAGGAGCAGTGCCGGGACTACTGCCTCAGCGACTGCTTCTGCGCGGCCGCATTGATGATCGGCGGATCCGACTGCGCGGAGATGGCGGCGCTCACCAACGGTCGGCAAGCAAACGGTATCACGACGAAGGCGTTCATCAAGGTGCGGACAAGGAAGTCTCCGGTGATCGCGTCCGCAAGGATGAGAAACGCATTGGCCTACAAGGTTGTCGCCATCTGCTTGGCCTTTCTTTTGTTCATTGCCGTCGGCGTCCTCGTGGCACAGCATTGCCTTGGCAGGTACAGAGAGAGGCAGCAGCAGCCGTTGAGCTCGAGCGTGAGAGCGTTCAGCTGGAAGGAGCTTTACCAAGCCACCAACGGCTTCGAGAAACTTCTGGGTAAAGGGAGCTTCGGCGAGGTGTACAGAGGAACGATGAGGTCGCCGCAGCCGCATCTCATCGCGGTGAAGAAGCTCATCGCCTCGAACGAGTACAGCGAGCAGGAGTTCATCAACGAGGTGCAGTCCATCGGGCAGATCCACCACCGGAACCTGGTCCGCATGATCGGCTACTGCAAAGAAGGCAACCACCGGATGCTGGTGTTCGAGTTCATGCCGGGCGGGTCGCTCCGCAGCTTCCTCTTCAACCCCGAGAGGCCGCGACCTCCGTGGCGCTGGCGCGCCGAGGCCGCACTCGCTATCGCCCGGGGGCTCGAGTACCTTCACGACGGCTGCAGCGCACCGATCATCCACTGCGACATCAAGCCCGACAACATCCTGCTGGACGACCACGGCGTCCCGAGGATCACCGACTTCGGGATCTCCAAGCTGCTGGGGAGCCAGCAGGTGCACACCACGGTGACCCACGTCAGGGGCACCAGAGGCTACATCGCGCCCGAGTGGCTCCGCGGCGACGGACGCGTGGACACCAAGGCGGACGTGTACAGCTTCGGCGTCGTGCTGCTGGAGATGATCTGCTGCCGGAGGTGCCAGGAGCCGGTGGTGGTTGATCCGCCGCGTGGCGTGGAGGACGACGACGAGACGGTCACCTTGTTCGGTTGGGCGGCGCAGCTGGTGGGTGCGCGGAGGACGGAGCTGATGCTGCACGGCGACGACGCTGGCGTCGACAGCGCGGAGGACATGGAGAGGGTGGACCGGTTCGCGCGCGTGGCGCTCTGGTGCGTCGAGCCGAACCCGCTGCTGCGACCGACCATGCACCAGGTGGTGCAGATGCTGGAGACCAGTGATCGGGCTCAGGCTCAGGCACTACGTATACCTGACCCTCCAGACTGTTACATGGAATCCTCGCCTTTAATTTCTCAGCTCAGAGACTGAATAATATTCCCTCCATCATAAAATAAATTAAATTGAATTCTTCTGAGTCAAATTATTTTAAGTATGACATCAAGCAAGTGCATTATAAATTCACGATATAAAATTTAGTGCCATAAACATCTGTGCACCTTTTAATAAATTGGACCAAAACTAAAAATGTTTGACTCCAAATATCTTTACAGGTTGATTTATTTTAAGACGGAGGCAGTACACCGATCATAGTTCTTTGGTTATTTTGATTAGTCAGACTAATTCATCAAACCATGCTTGTAACGACCTAAGTTCGCTACAACCTAGGCTATCAATTGCCACCGACAAAGCTCCTAGATGAGCCCTACAGGCATTTGGATACAGCGGAAATCGCGAATACATCGCTTTCCACCCAACAAGGCAACCCGCAATCCAAAAGAGTGAAGCGTCCGCAACGGTCAAACTTAGTCACTAAGAGATGCACGACATTGGCTTAGATTGTTAGAGGCAATGATTTTATGGCGTCGCCAAGGCGTCGCCTAGGCGTCCTGGCGATTTCCCAAGCGAGGCGCCCCGCCCGCCACGCCTTCCCCGCGTATGGCGTCGCCTGGGGCGGTATGGCGTCGCCTTGCGGTGTTCACGCGGGTAAAAAGGGCGCGGCCTGATGCGCGCGCGCGGGAAGGGAGATGCGGGAAAGGAGATGCGCGCGCCTATACCCCCCATGAGGGCACGCCCCATCCCTGCAGCGCGCCAATTGAGAGAGAGGAGGAAAGAGAGGAGAGAGGGGGAAGAGAAGAGGGCGGCACCTGGAGTCCGTCCGCCGGCAGCCCGACACCTGGAGTCCGCCCGCACCTGGAGTCCGCCCGCCGGCACCTGGAGTCCGCCTGCTGCCTGGAATCCGCCGAGGAGGAAGTCCTCCTCTGCTCTACTCCTCTGCGCCTCCTCTGCTCTGCTGTCTGCTCCTCTATGACACCCTCAGCCCCTCAGGTATATGCATATCTCCTCTCCTCTGGTCCTCCTCTTCTTTGCTCTTCCTTCCACCTCCTTTGTGCTATATAGCCATAAGCCATGTGCTCAGTCAGTGACCTGTGTAGTGCCTAGTGACCTAGTGCCTAGTCATAAGCCATCTGCTAATAATTTTTTGCTACTTGCATGTGCCTACTTGATAGTTGATATTGTTGATCTTTGCATGCGTACCACCAACAGAAAGAATGGCTAGTCCGCTTTCTATCAACAATGGCAACTATGACCCAAAGACCGATAAAGCAAGGAAGGCCAAGTCAAATGATCCAGTGGAAGTATGGTTATTGGGCAAACCTTCAAAACCGAGATCAGGTGACATGTACCCTTTGTGACGTTGAGGTTTGTGGAGGGATAAAAAGGTTGAAGCAACATCTGGCAGGTGGCTATGGAGATGTCAAAATGTGTCTGAAGATGACTACTACTATTAGAAAGGAGATGAGAGATTATTTGGAATCCAACAGGAGGAGAAGGCCATTGTTCTTAGAGGAGGGTGATGAACAACAAGAGGAAGCAGATGTAGCTGAATTGACTAAAGTTGGAGAAAGTGCACCTGAAGGATCCCAAACCTCCAGGGTGTAGCCAAGTTCAGGGACTGCAGCCAAACAAAGGCGTGTGGCCTAATTGTTCAAGGCTCCTGCAGCAAAGAAGACCAAGGAAGTGCCAAAGGAAAATAAGTCAATTATTCAAATGCTTCGCCCAACACCTGAAGAAATAGTTGATCAAAGGCATCAAGGCTGTTCTCAACCCACAATTCTAGCTAAGACTAAGTCCAAAGAGGAGAAGCATTACATGGATATGCAGTGGGCATTGTGGTTTTATGAATGTGGCATACCCTTTAATTCAGCAGCAGCACGACAGTTTTAGATTGCAATTGAGGCAACTGCACAGTTTGGTTCTGGGTATGTGCCACCTTCTCCCCACCTGCTTGGAGAACCATTGCTTAATGATGCTGTGAAATTGACTAGCAATGTGAGGGAGGAACATGAACAGGTATGGAAGCAATATGGCTGCACTATTATATCTGATGGATGGACGGATAGTAGGGGCCGACATCTGATCAATTTTCTTGTGAACAGCCCTGAAGACACATACTTCATAGAGTCTATTGATGCATCAGCTGAAGTACATGATGCTTTTATGCTTGCTGATCTATTAGGGAAGAAGATTGATGAGATTGGGAAGGAGAAGGTGATCCAAGTCATCACTAACTATGGGGCTAACTACAAGGCTGCGGGTAGGATTCTAATGGAGAGGATTCCTACACTGTTTTGGAGCCCATGTGATGCACACTGTTTGGACCTGATGCTAGAAGAAATAGGGAAATTGCAAGCATTCAAGAAGACCATTGCACGAGCAAGACGTATCACAACTTTCATCTATAGGCATCGGAGGATTCTTAGTTTAATGAGAGAGAATACAGGTGGGGCTGATCTTGTGAGACCTGCAGCAACTCGATTTGACACTTCTTTTCTCACTTTGAAAAGTTTGCACAAGCACAAGGACGCTCTGAAGGCTTTATTTCATAGTGAAGAATGGTCTGAAAACAAATTGGCAAAAACTAATGCTGGTGATAATGTGCATTCCATTGTCTTCTCTGTTGAGTTTTGGAATTCAGTTGAAGATTGCCTTAGAGCTTTAGCTCCACTCCTTATTGTTCTCAAGGTGGTTGATGGTGATGAGAAGCCTACAATGCTGGAGGTCACAGCACTAATGAATCATGCAAAAGAGAAGATAAAGCTAAGCTTTGTTGTTGATAGCAAGAAGCTCCTGCTAAAGAAAATCTTGGAAATCATTGATAAACGTTGGGTGAAACAAATGGACCATCTTTTGTATGGGGCTGCACTGTACTTGAATCCAGGAAAATTATATCCTCTTATACGGGATAATGAAGATCCAGTTGTTGGGAAGCTAAGAGGTTCTTTTCATGATGTGCTTGCAAGAATGGTGGAGGATGAAGAACTTAGAGACAAGATTGATGCTCAGTCCTTGGACTATGAAGCCCTTAGGGGAGATGCATTCTCAAACAAAAATAGCCAAGCAAAACCTTAAGAAACTAAGCCCTTGTGAGTGTTGTACTGTACTGTTGTTTACATTTTCCCAATTTAATTCCAGCAAGTCTATTTCATTCCTAATTTCTATTATATGTTTGTATTTGGCAATCTAGTGGATTGGTGGCGCTCGTATGGTGGTCGTGCTATTGAGCTTCAAAGGTTTGCTAGATGCATTGTGAGTCTTTGCGCTTCATCATTAGGCTGCGAAAGAAACTAGATCACATTTGAGTTTGTGAGTATTGCCATATGCCATCTCGTCTTATTTACTTATTTTCTTTGCTATTCACAATTTCAGCCAGATAATTACTCTTTGTTTGTTGTTTTCCCATTCTTTTTTTGTAGATCCATACAAAGAAAAGGAACATGTTACTGCATAAGAGGTTGAATGCCATTGTCTTTGTTTCCTACAACCGGAAGATGAAGACTAGGTTTCAAATAAGGCGTGAGAAAAAAGGAAAAAGTTTTGACCCTTTGGTCATTGATCAATTGATTGGGACAATGAGTGGGTTGACTGCTGCTATGTTCATCCTCAAGGTGCGCATGGATGTGAGGTTGTTGAGAATGAGAATGGTCTTACATGGGAACTTGTTGATGAAGCTCTTGGTGCATCAAGCTCGCTGCGAGGCCGCAATCTTCAAAGGAAAGCCAGCAACAACAAGCGTGCAAGAAATGCACCTTCAGGGCTGGTTGAAGAAGACTCAGGTTCAGCCAATGAAGAAGAGGAAGATGACCATGATTCACATGATGATGCGGATGTGAGCGATTGTGAGGATGCTCCAAGTGGCACCAATGGTGATGGAGAGAATGTGGATGCTACAAATGTCCATGATGAGTTTGATGATGGGTATTAGGAGTTGATTGCTTAGTTGGAATGTTTGTGTTAAGACTCTAGTTTATGTTTGTGGCTGTTATTTTGTTAAGACTCTAGTTTAATGTGGATGTTATTCTATTAAGACTCTAGTTTATGTTTGTGGAATGTTTGTAAATTGTAATGTGATTGTGGAGTGTGGACTGCTATTATTTTGGGCTTGTGTCCTAGTGTTGCTGAATTTCTTATTGCATTTGTAGCTTGCTGCTTGGGAAAAGAAAAGAGACTTTAGATCATCAAAAGGTATTTCACTTGAATGTTTGATCCTCATTTCATTTCATTGATGATTACAAAGTATTTCTATTACAGTATTACATTCATCACATGTTGAAACCTGCAAGGGAATGCATGCTACTTGGAACAAGCCAACAAGGGCAACTGGAAAGAGGAGGATCAATGGTACATGTGCTCCAGAATTGGCAGCAAAAAAGGTATGTATCAATGTATGTTTGTGCTACCCTATTGTAGGTTAGGCTATGTGTATGGCGTCGCCTCATCGCACGCCTTATTCGCCTAGGCGTCTCAAAGGGGGTGGGTCACCGCGTGTTGCCTTACCGCCATAAGAACATTGGTTAGAGGTCAGGTTATTGACCTTTGGAATAAAGATGATTGACCCCAATGCCAAATCTTAAGTGTTTGGATCCATCTCTCAACCAACAGAGAATATCGGACGGTCCGATGTCATAACGGACCATCTATCAGTACCTGAACTGCATGCAGTGAGTGGGGAGTGAGCTATCCTCCATTCAACCCTGGACCCCACCTATCATATGCACGAAATGGAAGATGGGATCATCAGCTGAAGCAATTCCCAACTCAACCCATTCTCCCATTTCTCACCTTCCTCTCTCTCTAAAGGAGCAAGAACAAGGAAGAACTAGAGAGAGAAAATGGAGATTGGAGATGAAGGTGGAAGGTGGAGTGAAGACATGCAATCCAAGATCATCACCTCATCAAGCTCAACTTATCCTTATCTCATGGTCATGGTTAGCTCATGAGCTCTCATCTCAATTAGTTGGAAATTTCTCTCAAACCCTAATCTCAAGCTTGCATGCATGTATAGATCATGGAGGGTGGTGACATCTCACTCATCACAAAGGTAAGATCAAGGCCCTATGCATGACCAATCCCAAGAAATCCCTCTCAATGTCATTCTCAAGCATTTCTGTGGATTCTTGCAAGGATGTTGATATCTCTCTTCAAGGATGGAAAGCAAGGTGTGCTCAATCTCTTATCATGGGTCCTAGCCTCTTATGATTATCAACCTTGGAGTTAAGTTCCTTTTTGCTCCATCTCAAGTCTTAATCTCAAGTGGTTCATGGGAAGAGATAGAACCCAAATCACTAGATGCACTAGTTAGCCAAAACCCAAACCCTATCTAGCTCTAGCCTAGCATATCCCTACAGTCATCCTAGGAGTTTGGTGCACATGCATAATGTCTACTACCCCAAATTAGGAATCCAACCAACCCAAAACCTAGAACATAGGTTCTGTTGCCCGACTCGTAGAGTGTCCGCCAAGTGCGGCAGAGCGTCCGATAAACCTTCCCAATTTAGTAAACTTCCCTATAGGAACACCCATACCCTTGCTGAGTGGGAATAGCAGAGTGTCTGACAATTCGTCGGAGTGTCCGTTGAATTATAAAGAATAGTCACCCAGTAACCCGAGAGTACCTAGTTCCTACCTGAGTGTCCGCCAGCCGGTCGGACAATCCGATGTTGGCAGCAAACTCTAGAAATGACTAAGCCCTAAGCTTACTGGAGCACCTAAGACCTCCACAGAAGGTCCATCAGCCTGAACAGAGCTAACCCAGGGTCAACCCACCTTGGCACCCAGCACAGCGAAGTTTTCGTCATTTAGGACGGAGTGTCCGCCAGACTACAGAGAGTGTGAGATTGTTTAGAAAGCTTACCCAAGAGGTCAACAATACTAGTTTGTATCCTATAGCAAATAGCGTAACAGTGGAGCCATAGTTAGATGCCTTTTCTCAAGTTCCAATTGTAATCTATTCCTATCTATTCATATCCTTTCTCGTCATTCCAAGCGTCGGCTTATCTCTCCAATCAGATCTCTCTTGATCCTTTCAGGAATCGACTCGAGTAAGGAACGTGTATAGATCATCATCGTCGGCTTCGATGAGTCAGAATGGTAGCACAATCAGGCAGGCACCCCACTACTATGAATCCTATTTTGGATACTTATCGAGTTTCATTATGAGTTATGCATTACATGTAGTTTTGGTTACTAATCTTGATCACCTCACACTTTGAGTCACCCATTAATCTAGTAGAAGCCTCTCATCTAGACAATGGGATTGGAAATGCTTAATTGCTTATTGCTTAGTTTCTTAGCAACTGTAGAAGTCGAGCATGAGAATTGAACTCATTCTCACGTGTGTAGGATGCTACACTTAGATAATTAATCACTAAAAACAATGAGGGCTACAACTTGATTTACTTTCCTAATCTAGATAGGATTCACTTCACTTAAGGCTATAAACTTGGATACCACTTTGGTAACTTCACTCATGCGAGGGGTAGTTCGTTGTGAGTGTGGGATCTCAAGCGACGTAGCTCGTGGAGCAGTTAAGGACCATTTATTGGGATATGTGAGTCCGAGTAACCACCCATATAGACCACATGTCGTGGATGGGGTCGACAAGCCAAGTAGCTAATTGCGACCGGTTTATCCGTGAAACTGGCAAGGGGGTTGTGCCGATCAGGAATGTCTGGGACATTGACCGGGCACCAGTCGAACCTTTCATAGGATACTCGGGCTAGATTAGGGAAAGGTTGGAGGACGTGAGGAAACCCTTACTACCGGACCCGGTGTATGGTGGTTAGTCCCGTTTTTCGTGTGGGTACAGTTGTACACCTCTACAGAGATTGAAAGCCTGAAGTCCCTCAGGACGAACCCTTATAGTTGTTCCTACTTTCTATACCCATGGTAGAGTAATGATGGAACATGATGATGTTGCTGCTTATATGTGTTAATCACTCTTTTGAATATCATACCTAGAAAATGTTAATATCCTAGAATGAACCATGAGCATGCCATTTAAGAAACACCATGTACTCTTCCAAATATACAAATACCTAATAATATTCTTTGCATCCACCAAATATCTATGTGTTGGAATTAAGTTATGTGAGTACGTAATGTACTCACAGTGTAGCCGTTAAGTTGTTTTGTAGGTAGCAAGACATTCTTCCAAGACTAGCTCCGATGAGTGCAACAGTTAGCAGACCTTGGAACTGGTGTTCTCCAGGATGAGCTGCGTGTAATCCGATGAGTAAAAGAGTGAAATGAGATGTAACCTAGACTGAAGGCAGTAGTTAAATAGAGAGTTAGTGATAATAGTATTTTCTTGTCTAAGAATATATTTTATGGTCAATGATATTTCAGCTATGTGCTGGAAACTTAAGTGTGTAACCGATCGAGTTGTTTGGTATGTGTCGACGAAATACGGCCGGTAGTCTACCAAGGGGTATGTCCACGGTAGTAGATGAATCTGTGGAGGTGCGCGTGATAGGAACTAGATGGTGACACAGAACACAAGAGATAGTGATTAGGCAGGTTCAGGCCGTCAGCTTGATGTAATACCCTACGTCCTGTGTCTTCGGTGGATTGTATTATGAGATGGGTCCCTACCCGCCTTATATAGCTCAGGTGGTAGGGTTACATGACGATTGAATCTAATCCTGATCGGTTACAAGATATCTATTTATAAGGAATACAACATCTTAGCATTTCCGATTAGATCATCCTTGATCGCTAAGGATCTTCACGTAGCCTTGCGGGGCACGCCGACCTGTGCCGTGCTTGACATGGCGTAGTCTTGTGGGCTGGGCCTCACCTGATGGCTCAGCCCATATACAACCCTATGGATATCGGGGGTCATACCCCCACATCTAGTCCCCGAGCGTCTTGTATCCGCTGAGCAACACCATCTTGAGCTTGTCCGAGCTGTCCAATTTACTACTGGTCACCAGGATGTAACACCTCGGGTGTTTAAATACTAAAACAGGACATGTCATTATATGCATTGCAAGGCATTTGTCATATTGCAAACTTTGATATGCATTCAATAAAACAAGTTTACATTTATGTTATGAGTGTTGCCTTGTATGGTTTGAATTGAGTTCAAAGTTTGGTTTGGATTTGAAGTTTCGAAAACTCTTATTTCCAGCGATTAGTTTTGACCCGAAAAACCCATTTCAAAATCAAAGTACATTTTTGGGGTTGAGCCTTAAAGAAAAAATGTAGAGCTTGTTGAGTTGTACAAAGTTTGTTTTTGGAGTTTTCAAAGTTGTTTAGAAAAATTTGAAGTAATTTGAAAAGGCAAAATTCTTTAAATGTCCCATTTTGAATTCAAATTTGCATTTCAAAAAGTAGACCAAATTAGGGGGTGGGTATAAAAGCAAAGTTGTATAACTTTGAATTTTGAACAACTTTTGTTTTTGGAGATTTTTGAGTTGTTACACAAATTTGGGAGTAATTTGGGATTTAAAACGAAGGGCAATTTTGTAAATAAGGTGCATAGTAGCCGCGGAAGACACTTCATCGCCGGCGAGCTTCTATTTCGTTCTGGTCGTCGCCGTGGCCCTTTTCGGCATCGTGCTGGCGTGGTGAAGGCCGTGGCGTGGCTTCCTTGTGCTTCCTGGCTGACCTTTATAGCCAGAGCATTGCCGCCGTTCTTCTTTTCTCTTCCTCTACTTTTCCCGACGTCGCCGATCATCTCCGTTGAGCCCTCGCCGTCGAACCAGCGCCTGTGCCATCGCAGCAAAGCACTCAACAATTTCGACTACTCCTTGCGCACCTAGCCAACCAACTGTGGTCTCTTGATTTCGCCGGGAACTCGCGGTGCATCGCTTTCTTCTCCGCGGCCGGTAACCTCACCGTCGTGCTTGCGCCGTTGTGGCCAGCGCTCTCCGGTGAGCCATTGATCTTGCTCAGTGTACATCCAACTCCGCCTTGTTCCTA